ACCTTTGGGCCACCGAAAGTCAGCACAGCTCATGGTGAAACTATGGAGCGAGAAGTTATTCGAAAGGAGTAATTGCTGCAGCAGGCACCGCACATGAGCTGCCAAAACTTGACTGGACCAGTTCCACCCCAGATATTGCTCCGAGACTCTCAAGGTCGTTGGACACCCAGAAAGTGGGTTATCTTTCAGAATAACAGCGTCACTGTGGAGAAGCACCGAGTAAATCAAAGACCAGCTGAATTTGCTCCTAAATGTGGCAAAATACTTATTCGCTTCAAAGCACTATTAATCCTTCCATCGACCAGACAGAGAAGATGGATTTTATTGTCTGGATTGCTTTCACTTGTTCTTAGCACTTCATATTCTTTTGGTTGAGTTGAAGGCAGTAAAGTTTAAGCATGAAGCTTGAGCTCAGGAAATGCCCGGGTCCTGTTACTTCTTGCTTCTAAGTCTGAAACATTTGAAATGAAGTCTAATACCAAGTAGTTTTATAAAGCAAATTGAGGAAGGGAAGCAAACATTTTAACCGTGCAGTCTGAAATTATGTTGCCTAAGATACGCCATTACTAAAGCAAAAGCATTGTTTTGATTGAACTGCCCTCAGATAATTCTGCCTTTGGCAGCAAATCACTGAAAATCAAATGAGCGTAGACAATAGGGCATTTACTGGCTCCTGTGTCTGGAATTCTAGAAAGACACAGTAGGACGCAGGGCTGGCCAGGCCAGGATCTCAACAATGGTGAAAAGTCTGTGGTTTTTTTACACCTACCCACCCTTCTGTGGTGACAAGGTTGGTTTCAGTGTAAGGCCGTTCCTGCAAGGGCATCGGATGGCTGCTGCGATCTATTGAATCCACCCTTTCCTTCAGGTCTGTGGGTTCTTGGTCATAGGCTACCTTCTGAAATGCTTGAACATTACCCGGTTTTTTGATGCAGGCCCCTTGTCTGTTCCTTCCTCTTCTGTTGATGCTTCGTGCGCTATTCTATTTTGGGTTGCTCCTGGAGTCCTTATTGTTAGGTACCACCGAGTAGGTTTCCACCCAGGGTGACACACAGAATGAAACCCTTCCTGGTCCTGCACCACTCTCACGATTGTTCCTGTGCCATTGTCACAGCCCCTGTGTCCATCCGTCTGGTTGAGGGCCTTCCTTGTTGTCACTGCCCCCCCACTTACCTAAGCGTGATGTCCTTCTCCAGGGACTGGTCTCTCCTGAAGTATATCCAAAGTATGTAAGGTGACGTCTTGCCATCTTCGCCCTTACTGTGGATGGAACCCTTGAATATTACTATGTGAGGCTTGGATTTTTCTTCAATTCTTTTAGCTTGAGAAAAGACTGAGCATGTTCTTCTCTTTTGGTTTTCTAACTCCAGATCTTTTCAACTTTCATGATAAGACACTACTTTGTCTTCTCAATTGCCCTTTGAGATTGTCTATTCAACTCTTTTACCCGATCATTTCTTCATTTAGCTTTAGCTAGTCTACATTTAAGAGCAACTTTCAGAGTCTCTTCTGATGTCCATTTTGATCTCTTTTGTTCCTGATTTTTGAATGACCTACTGCTTTATTCATGTATGATATTCTTGGTGTCCTCTCACGACTTGTCTGGTATTCAGTCATGAGCGTTCAATGAGTCAAATTGATTCTTGGGGTACTTATGAAACTTCAGATGGGATATATTTTGGCTTGAACTTATTTAAATTTTCTTCAGCTTCAACTTGAACTTGAATATGAGCGATTGATGGCCTGTTCTGCCGTTGGTCCCTGGCTTTATCCTGAGTGATGGTATTAAGTGTCTCCATCATATTTTTCCATAGATGTAATCAATTTGATCCCTGTATAATCCATCTAACAAGGTCCACATGTATAATTTCCATTTATGTCATTGCAAAATTGTATTTTCAATGAATGAGTCATTGACCTTGAAAAATTCACGTGATCTCTGGCATCATTTCCATCACTAATGCCATATTTTTAAACTACCTATGATCTGTATACTTCATTTCTAACTTTTCACATTCTAATCACCACTAATTATCAATACATCTTGATTGCATGTTTGATTAATGTGATAGTGTAGCATCTTTGGCATTAGTGGTGGGTTTTTAAATTTTGGATAGTCATCAGACTAATCGTGTTCTTTCTGACTGTCATCGGGAAGCCACTCCTCTTCAATTTCTCATTCCCAGCAGAGTAGACTATATGGTTTATTCAAAATGGCCAATATCAGTTGATTTCAGCTCACTGATACTAGGATGTGGCTCTGTATGCATCCATTTCACTTGACAATGTCCTAGATCCATACTTCATGCCTTCCGTGCTCTGATGGCTCACGGATGCTTGCAGCTGGCTCTTCTCATTTTGATTCCTGACACAGCAGCAGAGAGAGATCCTGAAATCTCTACTTCCTCCATAGCAGGCCGGTCAGCTCTGCTTCGAGGAGGCAGTTCTTCCACAGTAGTGCTCCGAGGGCCTTCCCACTCGAAGGATGCATCTTCTGACATCATATCTGATCATTATCCACTGGAATCCATAATGTCTTTCCTGGACGGTTTCCTTTTAGAAGCAGATCCAGGTCCTTTCGCTAGGGCGCCTTCGTCTGGAAGCTCCGCTTACACCTGGCCACCACGAGTGACGCGAAACACTAGTGGTGTAGCTGCACCATCACAGCGACATGGATTTTCCACTGCACGACCAACTAACATGACTGGTGGCTATTTTACACACATATATGTACACATGTATATATGTGACTTACTTCCATCAAGTCAGTTTCCACTCAGAGACTCTATAGGATAGGGTAGAATGTCCGTCTGCGTTTTCAAGACTTTAAGTCTTTACAGGAGCAGACAGACCGGTTTTTCTCCCATGAGGCTGCACCAAATGGCCTCAAAAGTTCATGGGAAGTTTCCATTATCTTTTAATTCCATTTGTCCATGAATTTCTGAAGGCTCTTTGTGCAGGTCTCTATGTCTATATTGATAGCGACATTGGTGATGCTCGACATCAGCTCTAAGTACTTTTTCTAGAATAAAAATCTTTGTCTGTATGTAGCAGTTCACTGTGGGGAATGCGAACAAAGACTGCGATCAGTGGCCTGGTTTCAAGTTCTGTCTGGCTCAGCCACCTTCCGAGTATCAAGTGCTTCGCTTCCTTAGCCTTGTTGTCCTTATTGATAAAATCGGATTAATAAACATACTCACCTTGTGGGGTTTTGAGGAGAATCGAGTGATGTAATCCTTGTAAAGTGTCCATTGCAGAGTCTAGCATTACAGTGAACCCTCGTTTATCGCGGTTAATCGGTTCTAGACCCTACCGTGATAAATGAAATTCCGCGAAGTAGGATTCCTTATTTGTAAATCAAAT